CCTTAAAATTTCAGCTTTCAAGCTTTCCTGGCTTCTGAGTTAGCAACTTACTCGAAAAAAAAATTTTGCAGACCCGTACGTGGGTAACACGCTTACCCAGGGTTGGGTTTGAGCTCATTAATACCTACTTAGACGGGGAACATCCCTTAAAATTCCAGCCTCTTAGCATTTGTGGTTCCCGAGCTAGTAGTTTACCCGTAGAAAACTTTGGCGGGCTCGCACGAGGGTACCACGCGGTTAAGGGCACCCATTTTGGGCACTGGGGCCCGTACATGCATGTACATTAAGCTCTCCAAGTTTCAGCCCCGTAGCTTTTGTGGGTTTCGAGATGAAAAATCGGTACAGACGTGCAGCACACACACAGACACAGACACACACACACAGACAGCCTCTCGTCAGTTTGCGTTTCCTGCATTGCATAGCTGCAAAAAACGCATAAAAAGGTAAACATTTTATAGGAGCCTTTCATTCATCTTCCTTCAGTTACAGGTTTCATTCGCAAGCGATACGGAGTTACGGAGCGCCGGAGAAGGAAAAAAATGTGACGAATTGGTTGCATCTTCGTCGTTCGATGATGAAAACAATTTGTTGCGTAAAGCAGCGAATAAAGCGGCCAAAACGTCTAAAAAGCATACTGCTGACTTCTACGATTCGGACGAGGACGACGACAATGAACGCTGGGTAAATATCTCTAAATTTTACTTTTTTTTTGGGTAGCATGTACTCCATATAATGCATTTTATTACTTGCTTCTAGGTAAGTAGAAAAGGCAGTACGGGCCGTAACGGCCCTAGGAGCGTCATATCAAGAAAAAGCTGTAAAGAGCCTGCGGACAGGACTATAAACAACGGTCAGTACGGTCAGAGGCAAAATAGGAAGACTAGCACGGGAAGTACAAGCCCTATCAGCGTCACATTAAAATAAAGGTTATGAACAGCCGGTCCTGATGGGCTGCAATCAGCAGCAGTGAAATTGAGGTCGGAAAATATAAAAAAATAAAAAACGTTCCGGCCAAAGTCAACAAATAGGTACGTGAAAAAGGAGAGAAAATTAAAATAAGCTGAGGAAGATTGTAGCGTTGCAAATATATACGTAAGCCGTATGTCATGTAGAAGGGTCATGTACATAGATGTATGTAAAAGGAAGTATGCCTATATTTCATCCCTAACTCCTAGATAACACCGTATGCAAGCAGCAATATCTGCAAGAATGAGAGGATGGGGATTGGAATGATTTTTGTTACAGGTACCAGTACTTTGTGTAGATGGCATGCAAAAACTGGAGGCTGTATAACACAAAATGC